CTCTCTCCCCCCTCTCTCCCCCTCTCTCCCTCCCTTTCTCTCTCTCTCCCTCTCCCTCTCCCTCCCTCCCTTTCTTCCCACCACAAGCACTGATGACTGTTGACGTCGTGGGAAGCCTCCTTCCTTCCCTGCAGAAGAGAGAACGTGGCAGTCTGGGCTCTGCTCCCACCCCCGTAGAGATGGCCCAAACTCACACCAAAACGCTGATGCTCTTCACTTCCAGACCAGACCGTTGGCCCTCCATTCATTTTGCCTCTTGGAACGTTCTTTTATGCACAGTTTAGGGCAGTCTAAGTACAAATCAAAAGTCTAACTTGTCTCTGATTCCTCCTGTCGTCTATGTGTATATGCGTGAGAACAGAGGTGGATGAGAGTGTGCGTGTGTGCGTGTGTGCAATTTTATACGTCTGTGTATTTTCTTATGTACCTGTGCACACATAGAGTGCATTACTGCCACCTTTTTTCAATAAGCTGTTTTATCAGTTCTGGCTTCTACAAGTTTGCTAATTTAGACTTCTTTATTGCCATATCTTTAAACTAACAATAGATGATTTCGGTATATATATATATTTTTTTTTGCTTATTTATAGGTGCTGTATTTTATTATCTGATTGTTAGGAAGGGATGAGAGGGGCAAATATTCTTTAGAGGGATAGACTGCCGGCAGTATTGGGTATAATTTACAAGATGTAGTTGTCATACTGTATATTACTGATTGAAACCTTTTTGACCGTATTGTGTATCATTGAAACCTTTGTCTTAGGTCAACATCTTTGGATGACATTTTAATGGTGCATTCATTATTTCTTAAGTTTAATTAATATTACCTTTTTTTGATTTGGGGGGGGTGGGAGGGAGTTCTAATTTTAAAGGTATGCTCCCGCTATTACACCTCAGTGTGCTTGTATTAATTAACTTGTAGGACTTTGACTGTAAGATGTGAAACCACATTTCTTGCATGATGTTTTAGAAATTATGTATTTCATTTACAGTCTTTTAACCTGCAACTGCAGCACTTAGTTCAAGTTTTCACAAGTTTAAGAGTCACTACACTAAAGACAATGCCTTTTCATGAATAAGAAGTTTGCAGAAGGCTCTAGGAGGCTGGGAGGCAGGCCGTTTGTCTTTTAATGGTTGCATATCATCTCTGAACTTGAAATCTGGTTCGGTGAGCAGAGGATTCAACATGGAGGAGCTTAAGGGGAAAACGGATTCACATCTGGCTGAATCCAGGTGCGGTGAGAAGAGCGAGTTTGCATTCGTGACCCTCAGGACAGCAAGCAGCAGAGCCCCTGACAGCACTGTGGTGCCCTCTCCACGAAAACCTCGAGGAGGGATTTGGTCATCACGTGTGCTCCATCTCCAAATACGTGATTTTCATTAGAACGAAAAGCAGGGCGTTAACAGGGAATACTAGGGTAGTATTTTCGTTTTAAAGGCATGACTGTTATTTACTAAGGTGTGAAATCTGAGGAAATTGAAAAAGTATAAATCTGTCCATCCTAGTGGCCAAATAGTAACGTCTAAAACAGCCGCTTTGGCTCTTTCAGGCAATTTAGTCATTTTTGTTGTTGTTTTGTTTTTTTGTTTTTAAGCTAGGTTATTGTTGATTTCCATTCTATCTTTTTTGCCAGGCTTACATCTGGGTGCTCGATACAATCAGTTGGTTAAATTTTGCTTGCAGTTCCATGTTTGTATTTTTTCCTCTATTTATTTTTATTTTTATTTTTTTGATTGCGATCCCAACACTATGATCTCTTGTGTTAAGCTGTCACTATAATACTTTTAAGAGCTGCCACTAAATAACAGAAACCGGCCGGGGGGGAGGGGGGTCCCCCTCCTCTTTGCGCCCCTCATTCTGAGTCCAAGGGTTGATCTTTCATCTTGAGAAGCAATATTCAAGTGCCTTGAACAGCATCCTCTCCGTGGGCTTTACCTTCAGCTGGCTGGCATTCCAAGCAGTAGCTCCCACAGGCAGCCGACCTCTCCCTCTTTCCGCTCCATCAGTTTAAAAAGCTGATTTGTCTCTCTCCCCTGGGGAAAACGGTTTCGTATAAAACACTAACACTTAATTACAAGCTCCATTATACCATTTTAAATGGCTTCTTTTTGTTAATTGAAGGCAGTGTTCATAAGTTAAGGTTTTTGCCATTACTTAGCTGGCTAAGTGGACGCTCTGCATACAATCAGTGTTCACGTTCAGCCTCTCGACCCTTGGTTCCTGCCCACGTTCTCCTGTGGTGTCTGAGGTGGAAGGGGTGTGGGTTCTGTCCCAGCCCTGTGGTTGTCTGTGATCTCTGTCTACCAGACCGCCCTTCTTTAGAAAGGATTACCGCAGCCATCTAGCTCTAACTCGGTTTTCCTCAGAGCCTACCTTCCCAAAGAACATCACGACACAAGGTGGCTTACGGTCAGCAGACTGGGGAGAAGTCTCCAGGAAATGCCAGGATCTTGTATGACTACTCTCAAGCCATGGCCACTACGTCTGGGAAAGTGACCGAGGCAAAAAGATGAGAGTTCATGGCCTCCCATGGGACAGTTTCCCTGAACTTCCAAAGCACAAATGCCTCCCTGCTCACCTCCCTCCTGTGGGCATCTTTGTTTTCCCCCCATTTAAAAGCCAGATATGCTGGTTGGTGGTCCAGACCCAGAGTACGACAGAGCTTTGGGTTGAGTGTGCGTCTGTGCTCCCTCTGGCTGTGAGAGACCCTCCCCAGCCAGCCCCAGGCCCAGCCGCCAGCTTCAGGAGGAAGGAAACACCCGAACTCCTCCATGCCTGGGGCCACATCAGCCCACAGCCCCGAGCAGACCAAGCAGGGGGCAGGTTGTTCGCAAGCTCTGGCATCAGCTAACTATGCTCAGATCACCCAGCAGTCGTGCCCTGAGAGGTCGGGCGGAGAGTCGCCGGACAGCTCTGTCCGCAGGCAGGTGCCTTTCTGGCTAAAGTTGGCCTGGATTTCTTTGTTCTCCCTGAATTCATGTCCTTACATGCAGGGGTGATCAGTGAACTCTACTGACTTTCTATGCAATGTTTTTCATTCCTCTGATTGTAGGAAAACAAACCTCCCTGAAAATAGCAGAGGAGCCAGGGGGAGCATAACGGCCCGTCCTTCAGGGATGAGCACGGAGTGAAACAGCGATGGTGATTTACTAGGTCTTGAACTTGCGGGCAGTAGCCTTTGCCTTAAATGCACTGTGGCAGGCACCTCTCGACCGGCCTGTGAAAACAAGAGTCTGTCCTTAGCCGTCCCAAGCTGCTCCTCTCTGAGGCCAGTAAGCCAGCTGCGTGGAGGGGGTAGAGCAGGGCGAGGTCCTGGCCAGCGTGGTGGGCTGGTGGCCGCGCCCCTTCAGCCTGGAGGTGTGGCTCCCTCCCTGGATGTCCTTTGTTGTCACACTCATTTGTCCCCTTCTACCTCACTAACCATGCTCCCACTCTATCTCACCCCTCACCCCTCAGAAACGTGTGGCAAGTGGGATCCGGGAAGAGAAAACCTAGAAGCGTGGCGTCCATGAGTGTATCTTGGCCCGGTGGGCAGGCGGCTTCCCTCTTGTGAGCACAACACGGACAGACAGCTGTTCTCTGTGAGGCACGGGGACTCTCCTCGTGGCTCCCACCTGTTCCTGAAGCTCTCACAGCTGTTTCCTTTGCAGGCAGGGGCCGTCTCGGGCCTCAGAGGGCCTTGCCTTTGGCCGCCTCTGCACTCTGTCCATTCCTGGTCAGCTGTTAAGATCCGTCACAGCCATTTCCCTTGCCCTGGGCTGCCCCTCCATGGCCACGTGAGGTCACTTCCCCAGGATTCCCACTTGGCCTCGGGGAGCTCTGTTGTCTCTGGCACTGGGAGGTTATCGTTTCAGCACCTCCGTGGGAATCTTCTGAAGGACAGGAGAGAATACGGCCTTCTCCAGCCCTCATGCCCAGTCTTCAGTCACCTGGCCCTTTCTTCCCCAAAGACTAGGCCAGTTTCCGCCCCGTGCTGAAGAAAACCAGCTCCCAGGGCTGCTGGTTAGGTGAGGTGGCCGGAGTGTTCTGATGGAAAGAACTTGGAAGCGCTTACCGGGAGGAGCTTACATTTAGAAATCCCCCCGCTGCTGCTGCGGTCTCGTTTGGGCCTTGATGGCGTTAGGGGAGCCTTTGTGAACCCCGAGGCAGAGCTCCTGCCCTAAGTGTCAAGGTGGTGGCCTGGGACTCCAACGTGCTGTACGTCTGTTTCCCCAGTGCACTGAATGTCGGTCCGGCCAGCACACCTGCTTGCTAAGAGGATGGTCCAGTTTGGCAATGTTAATTCCCATTCCCATCCGTCGCTGCCTTTTGGTAGATGAAAACTACTGGGAAACGAAGGGAAAGCAAGTTGCCAGTTAAAGTGCAAAAAAAAATCAAGGCTTTGAGACCCTTAGAGATGTGCAGAAAACTGAGGCCAGAGCACTCGGGGCTGATCGAGGTGGCAGAGGAAGGGGCGTGGGCAGTGCCGAGCTGAGCATAAAATGAGCCCTGCCCTGGAGTCTGCCGTGCCCTAGCAGCCTGGGAGCCTCATCCCTGGTCAGGGAAGGACATGCAGTTCCCCACCACCACCACCACCACCACCGTCTGTCCCATCGCAGGAACTGCCCCCACCAGCCCAGGCCCTGCTACCACCCCTTCCGTCACCACCTTCCCTCCAAAGAGACTGTGTCCACGCTGTCAGTGGCATCCTCCCCATTTTCATTTTTGGATGAAGTGACATTTAGCTTTAACAAGACATTTCCAAAGCGCCTAGTCTCCTCCAAAATGCTAATTTTAAAAGTTGGGCATTGTAGGTGAAGGACCTTAAAAAAAAAAAAAAAAAAGGCTAGTGAGAGAAAGACATTAGGCTAGGCATAAATGTGCACTTCCCATCCCCGCTATTCAACATTTAAAATAGCTCTGAGTTGCTTTTCATGGATCATTTTAGCTTATCCATTAGTGTAGAGTCTGTGTTAACTGTAATTTCTGTAGTGTTTAGGCTTTCATCTCTACCACAAAATATGCTATATGCTATGTATCAAGCTTTCTGTGATCAGAAAGGAAAGGTGCCTTATATCCCAATGTCATGGCTACATCCCTATGGAAAATAATCAGAAGCACAGTGCGTACGGAAGCATTGGGACTTCCGTTGGTGAAACCAGACACCAGTCGGCGAGATGCATTGAAGTGACAGTGGGGCTGCTTTTGTTTTCTGGTTCCCTTTTTTCTCCTTTTTTCATTTTCCCTTTTTTGTTCTCTCTCTCTCTCTCTCTCTCTTTTTTTTTGCCTAGTTTGCTTTAAACAGAAAGCACTTAAATAGATGACTATGTGTAAAAGCTCTGTGCAATAGAAATCATTTTTCTTCATTTTTAAGAGGTAACGTATTGCACACCAAATGAACTCAAAGTAAGCTTTAGACCAGGACGATTCAGGTTGTGGAGGAGTAGGACAAGTTTGTCCACTGTAGTTCCGTGTGTTCATGAACCGAAGGGAAAACAGGCCTCCCCAGCATCCCCCCCCCCACCTCCATCTCAGCTTGCCTCTTGCTGACCGCCAAGCTAGGCGTGTAGGGCCCACGGGCACCCACCAGAACTTCTGGCTGGGTGGCAGGGCGGGTGGAGGGGGTCTGTGACTCAGCAGCTGAGAACCTTCCCCAGTGTGAGACCACAGCTATCCCTTCCAGCACTTAACCTTTTATTGTTGAGATGGATTGACTGCTACTGACCCGCCAGCGTGCGTGAGGATAATTATAAAAGGATGTTTCCTTGAGGAAAAAAAAAATTATTTCTAGCCTCTTCTATTTATTATTAGGTTAACCCTTTAAGTACTTATCAGGAGTATATTGTTATTTTGTGTCGTTGTTGTTGTCATAAATGCTTTTTGCTATCACTCCAGTGGTTACCGTCTTCTGCCTCCTGCCCTCCCCCGCCCCAAAGAACCCGAGGGTCTGGAGATGCGGAGGCGGGGGGGCAGGGGGGGGCCAGCGGGGGCTTCTCCAGCAGAATCAGATGTCTGTCTCCAGGGCAGCCACCCAAACACTGGTGGTCTCCACACGTCTAACTTTTCAAAATGAGAGAGTTGATGAACAACAACAAAAAATGTACCAATGTAAGGAAACGCCGGGTTGAAGGACGCTCGCGTGAGGAGCTCCAGAGGAGACTTAGAAAAAGCAAAGCTCAGTTCCCCAAAGCCTCCTAGAGCCTCTGGTCAGACTTCTGGGTTCATGACGGTTCGGGAGCCCCGGGCAGAGCGGGTGCGGCGGCCTGGTCGAGCCTGACTTCGGGTGAGAGAGGTTTCCGGCAGGGCTCACGTGGGCTGACAGGTTTCGCTTGGCTTTTGTTTCTGTTGTTGTTGTTTTCCTTGCCTGCAAAGTTGGTCAGAACCTTCTTGAGGAACAACCGTGTTTCTTAGTCCGGCTGCGGCTTAAGGACCCACCCCAAGGGGGTGGGGTGGAGTCCCTTATCCCCTTTCACATGGTCAAGTGTGGAGGGAGTTTGGACCAGGGGCACAGCTTTCTGTGGCTATAGAGGCACAGCCAGCAAGACACCCAGTTGCTTGCTTATCGGGTGTTGCGGTGCAGTGGGACTGGTGGTGGAGGCCAAGGTGGGGCTCCCAAAGGGCCACCGACCGCCGACTCACTCTCCGTGCCATGACTTTTCCCTCCTCTAACATCATTTGGGGTCCTGCTTCTGTCCTTGTCTCTTTGAAAGAAAGCCCTCTGATGAAATAACGGCCCCCATCCCTCCCCCCCGCCAAAGGGTTTTCATTTCCCTCCAAGTAGTCTATGCTCTATGTCTCTCTCTCTCTCTCTCTCTCTCTCTCTCTCTCTCTCTCTCTCTCTCTCTCTCTCCTCTCTCACTCTCAAACCATTTTCTGCCTCCTTGGAAAAACAGGCATCTCATGTCCCACTCTCTGAGACCCCCTCAGAAAATGCTGTGCATTTTGGAGGCATGAGGATTCATTCAAAATTCCAAAAGCATTTGCAGATAGATTGTTATAAAATAAAAGTGGGAAAAAGCAAAAGAAAAGGCGGTGTCCCCCACGTCCCTTTCCACTGAGTAAGACCTAGCTCTTTGCGATTGTGCAATAAACTACTTGCCATGAGAGCGGGTGGCCACGCTCCTGCCCAGACTACTAACTAACACAGCACAGGCCGGCCGGCCGCACGGCAGGCCTCTTCCAGATGACTCCTAATAAGCTCAGCTTCCCCCCCGCACCCCGTGTCTTGTGGTGTCTTACATTTTAGCAGTATTTTATATTTTCTGTAATGCACTAAGTCTTAGATGTTTTTACAGCTCATTCGTTCATACTCACAATCACAGACTTTTTTTTTAATTCTCACAATGACCCAATTGACCAAAAAAAAAAAAAAAAAAAAAAAACCCATCATTTTTGTACAAATAGCTTTGAGAAAGGTCTCTGTTGTGTTGCTGTGAGCCATCTCTAGTAACATTTTATTTCTGCCATTTGTTTTCGACACGGTAAGTCAAAAGTTGATCCGCCTGGCATGGGGGTGGGGGGAGGCACCCGTCGGCCCCTGGGCGATGTCCCTTCTGTCTTTGGTTAGCCATACGATGTTTGTTCTCAGCACTGTACAACGGTCCCTATATGATATGGAGAAGCAATATCACTGTATGAAACTCACACCATGTATTATTATTATTCACTAGCACCGTAGGTGTGATAATTGAAGTAAATATCTTTTATACAAACACAAGAACGTGTGGGTCGTTTTTATTTAAAGGGCTCTGGCCTGAGGAGGAGCAGCAAACACTTTCATTTGGGGTCCAAAGGGCACCTCGAGTATCGCCTTCCCGTGCTTTCTGGGGCATGTGGCGTCAGGGCAGGTGTCGGCAGGAACCTGGGCCGGGGGAAGGATGCGTGGGGATCTGGGGACCAGCAGGCCCTGCTGTCCTCAGGTCTCCGTCTGGGCACACGGTACGTGCCC